GCGGCTCCAAAGGCGTCGATAAGGGTACCCAACTCGCCCAGGATGAAATTCCAACCGACGAGAGCGACACAACCGATGAAACAGAACATGGCTTCAGCTTTCCAATCGACGACCTCTCCGGTCGGGGTTTTCGGTGACTCGGGCGGAATCGCTTCTTCCAATGACTCAATCGTGGCCGCATCGGTTCCAACTTGAGACAATTCATGAGAAGAGGTCGAAGAGGGCATAGACAAGGTGGCCACGAGAGGGGACGTCGGAGGAACTACAGATGAGCGAAAACACCGGAATACAGAGATGCGATAGTACCCTCTACTCCACACAAGCACACACGATTGATGAATTCAACTGATCGGACGCAACACCTTGAGAGATGCTCAGACCGTTGTGTTGATCGCCGCTTTGATCGTCGCTCAGATGATGTATCGTGGTATCGCCAAACTCCCCCTCAAGACATTGGCTGCTCAGGTGGTCCCTCCCTCAACCCTCCATGATCAGAATCCGTTACCATCACAGCAAGGATTCCAGGATGGACAAATAAAATACGTGAGAAATGGGGTTCCCGGGGATGGAACCTGAGGCCACCAACAACGCACTTTCAAATTCTACTTGCAGAATTTGACAGAAAATTGAATTCCGAAATATACCTCGACGAAGATTCGAACCTGAGTCTCAGGTTCTCTAAACCTCAGGTGTCTCAGGTCCGTCATATCCCAGCTGTGTATGATCTCTTTTCTTGTTGTATCGCCGCTCATAACCAGTTTCTCAAGAAGAGCTGTTTCTTCTGGACTCCACACGTTTCTCTTCTCTATGAAGCCTCTCTCACGCGCCACGAAAGAACACGTTCCTCTTTCAGAAGCACTCGGAGGGGTTCTGGAATTTGCGATTCTGGAAACGCCCAAAGAATCGCGCAAAAGAATCTTTGAACGCGCCAAGAACTACTTCTGGAGACGTTTCTGAGATCGTTTCCAGATCTGACTCTATGAACAGAAAATCCCAGAATCGTTCCTAGAAACGCTTCTCAAATTTAAAATCGGTCTATAGAACAGGCGGTAAGTATCGAACAAGAAAACAGGGACGAAATATTTCAGATTGTCTCAAACGAGCAACTTGCGCAAGAAGTTCAACCTCGACAACGAGGAACTTCTGACAACAGCATCAGGACGGCTTCTTTCGAGGTCTTCGACTTGACGTTCATAATCACATGTAAGCCGAGCGCTTAATGATCGTAGCTATAACGGAACCAGTTAGAATACCACAGATCAGACCAAATGACATCACATAACCAGCAATCTCAAGTTCCTCTTTCTTATTCTGGTCGACTTGGGTCGGACCATAAATCATGCAAGAAGCCGCAAGAATTCCGTTGGTCAACCCTAATAGAGCCATGATGACGAAATGAAACCAGTCTTGAGAGAATGGTGAGCAAGACAGGTGAATACAAAGGAAAAACAGGGGAATGAATATGAGACGAGCAGTAGCAGCATAAGGCGTGTATCTTTTCCCCAGACGAAGGTGATAGAAAGGAGAGGCTCGGCCGATCGTATCACATACTTGATAGCAGTAAGTCATAAGTTTACCAAATGTAACGGACGACAGTGAGGACGGACTCATCTCAAAAATCGTCCACGGAAAAACAGTGTACGAAATAGTAAAGCTGAACCAAACGGTGAGAGCTTGCGGCGCTACGTCACGTAGAATTTTGGATAATGGTCG